TCTGGCTCTCACTCTGGAGCACAAGACATCTTCCCCACTCCCTCCCCCGCCCCCCATCTTGTCCTTGTCTCTTTCTCCTAAGCTCCAAGGGCCCTTCTTTGGCCTCTGTAACTTGTTTCCTAAGCCCACTGATTCTATAGTTCACTTCTACCTCTGTGACTTCTCAATAAACTTTCTCTTATTAAAAAAATAATAATACAGCCCTGGCTGGTGTGGCTCAGTTGGTTGGAGCACTGTCCAGTACACCAAAAGGTGGCAGGTCCGATTCCCTGTTAGGGCACATACCCAGGTTTGGGTTCAATCCCCGGGTGGTATAGGAGGCAACTGATTGATGTTTCTCTCTCACATGGATCTCTCTCTCTCTTCCTTCCTCCCTCCCTCCTTCTCTCCCTCCCTCCCTCGCTCCCCCTCTCTCTCTCACTAAAATCAATAAACATATCCTTGGGTGAGGATTCAAAAAAAACAACAACAATAAGGAATACTTTAGATCAGTCACATACTATAAGGATGCAGAAGCTCCCAGTAAATAATGCTCATGGCAGTGGGGGCTTTGCAAGACATTACATAAAGATTCTATTCCCAAATAAGTATGAGCAAGAAGATAAAAAAGTTGGTAGAATCACAGTTGTCATGTTTATACCAAAAGATCTGTTTTACTGAGATATGACCCAGTTTCAATATTATGTTCAAATCGTTAAAAATTTAACAATTCTATTAGAATTGAAGAAAATCTGGGAAGAGAGGAGGAGAAGAGGGTCCTAATATATGGTGACAGGAGAAGATCTGACTTTGGGTGGTGAGAACATGGTACAATACACAGATCTTGCAACATAGAAACCCACACCTGAAACCTGTATTTCCTTTTGACCAATGTCACCCCAATAAATTTAATTTTTAAAAAATCGAAGAAAATCTGTAATGATACTATACCAAAAATTGCAATCACAACTATTTTATATTAGTAATACTGGTAATGAGCAGTGAAACCTTGAAAAATATATTCTCTTTCACCCTTAATCAGAATCTTTAACAGGGAGGGGATGAATAAAAAGGCAGATAGTTTAGATCAAGCATGTCAAACCCACGGCCCACGGGCCGCATGCGGCCCACAACAAATATATTTGTGGCCTAGCCAATATAACGGTATGTAAGAAACGTTTTAATAAAAAATTCATAACTTAACTTTTACAATATCCTATTATACATAATTATTAATAACGAACTACAACGTTCGCTAATGACTGATTACTACATTTCTCTCTACTAATACTAGCGGCGAATATTTTAGCAGCTGATTGCCACATCATTAGTCTTGGACTGACTTGTTTGGTGTGTGCAACAGGAAATATTACACTTTTAGAGAACTAGAAAAATAGGTTTATTTGTGTTACACTTATTAATTTGTGCAGTTATTCAGTGTCTGGTAATTAATGTTCAAAAAAAAGATTAATTTTTATTAAAGTGTTCTATTATTTTATGTTAACGATTACTCATTTATTTCAGCCCTTTGTATTCAGCATGTCTCTATTGAAATAAACCTACTGGATGGTCAGTAGGTTTCTATTTGGCCCATGTTAGCCTTTGAGTTTGACATGCTTAGTTTTCAGTGGTTCTTAACCTTCTGGCCCTTTAAATACAGTTCCTCATGTTGTGACCCACCCATAAAATCCATAAAATTATTTTTGTTGCTACTTCATAACTGTTATGTTGTCACTGTTATGAATCGTAATGCAAATATCTGATATGCAGGATGGTCTTAGGCGACCCCTGTGAAAGGGTCGTTTGACTGCCAATGGGGTCGCGACCCACAGGTTGAGAACCACTGGTTTAGATGCTTAAAAGTAAGCCCCAAAGGCATTAACTCTTACCTGTCCAACTGAATGTGTGAGGCCTTTTTGGTAAAGCTCCACAGTTTTTCATTCTGTTCTCCTACACCACCAAGAATGGCAATTTCACCTAGAATCAGAAATAAGAGATCTAGTACAATGAAAAATAGTCACACTCTCAAGTAATCAATATAACCCATGTCCAGGTAGGTCTCTGGTTTTCTTGCAAACAATTCTTAAGTGATGCCACAATCAAATTCCCAAAAGAGGCCTGGCGTAGCTCAGTGATTGAGCATCAACCTATGAACCAGGAGGTCATGTTTCGGTTCCCTCAGGGCACATGCCCAGGTTGCGGGCTCAATCCAGGTTGCAGTGTGGGGCATGCAGGAGGCAGCTGATCAATGATCCTCTTTCATCATTGATGTTTCTATCTCTCTCTCCCTCTCCCTTCCTCTCTGCAATCAAAAAAATCTTAAAAAAAATTCCCAAAAGAGGTGAAGGAATTAAGAAGTATGGGTTGTTTGGGTGGTAGGCACATGGTGCAATATACAGATCTTCTAACATAGAAACCGACACCTGAAACCTATATGATGATGTTAACCAATATCACCCCAATAAATTTTAAAAAATTTAAATTAAAATTTAAAAAAGAAGTACAGGTTGGTAGTTACAAAATAGTCATGGGGATATAAAGTACAGCATAGGAAACCTATATATATAAAAGCCTAATATGCAAAGTGTCCCCTCAGGAGTTCGACCGGGCGACTGGGAATTCGATCACTCGCTATGATGTGCACTGATCACCAGGGGGTGGCGTGGAACAAAGGGAGGTCCTGGCATGCAGCTGGCAGCCTCTAGGGACCCGACCCGTGCATGAATTTTGTGCACTAGGCCTCTAGTATAGTCAATAATATTGTAATACCTGTATGGTGCTAGGTGGGTACTGGAAATATTGGGGGAGGGGGGAAATACTTTGATTATCTAACCACTATGCTGTATAGATTATCTAACCATTATGCTGTATACCTGAAACTAATACAAAATAATATTGAATGTAAACTCTAACTGAAAAATAAAATTTAAAGTAGCTTTATTTTAATTCCCAAAGTAAAAGCAGACACTATTTTAGAAGTGACACTAAGGTTAAGTTCAAGAGGAAAATGGGTCCACAATGGCAACATCCCGCCAGAAATGTCTGTTCTGTTCTATACAAGGAAATCTGGTTGTCAATCAACTTTATGCAAAGCAGAAGACCCAGGGACTTTTTCCATCTCTCCTACAGAAACTTTCATCAACACCAATAGGAGCCAGAAGGAATAGGGCACACGGGATCTTATAAACCAAATCGGGGGAGGAGGAACATGTGTAATACTCTCAATAGTAAAGATTAAAACAACAACAAACAACAACAAATCATAATGTTTTCCTAAAAGATTATCGTCTATTAGATTAGAAATTACTCAACAGAATAAAAAGAAAATGCTATATAAAGGCAGTAAATCACAACCACTTTTATATCCTTCCACAGCCCCACCAGAACTCTTTTCTATCTGAATGAACCTTGGAATGACTCAAGTTTCCTTCACCAAAACCAGTGGTTCCCAAACTTATTTGGCCTACCGCCCCCTTTCCAGAAAAAATATTACTCAGTGCCCCCTGGAAATTAATTTTTTTTAAATTTTAATAGCAATTAAACAGAAAGATATATGTATTAATGTTTCTACCTTTTTCGTAAAATATAGTAAAGAAAGGTGTAAATTAGAAACATTGAAGTTTGAAATTATGAAACTATTTATTGAACTCAGAATAGAAAGGTAATACAAAAAAAGTTAAAACAAATGCACCTGTGGCCATCACCGCTCCCCTGGATCGCTGCAGCGCCCACCAGGGGGCGGTAGCGCCCACTTTGGGAATCACTGACCAAAACAAGAGACACACTGAACACTGCCTTAAAATCCTCCCAATTCCATAAATAAGTTTTTATCCCTTGGGAAAGGAGGAAAGAGTTTGAAATTTAAAGTACAAAAAAATTGAAGCATCTGAAAAAAATTGAAAGATGCTGTGACAAGCATGTATGTGCCTCGAAAGATTTATTTTCTAAACTAAAAACATCTCTCAGTCCTCAGGGTGATGGGTGTACACTCCTGACCTGTGATGAACTGCTTCTGGGTTTGTTTCCAAATGCACAGCCTCCAGGGAAAGACATTCTGCGGTCTTGCTAAAAAAATTTTTCTCAAAGGCACTGTTATGGTGAACAGCAAATAAACACTTCTCACTGAAGATAAGACTAAAATGCACTTAGCATGTGAATGTAACACTGGTACCATATTCCACGTAAGACCAAACAGGGGACTGATTTCCAGTTGGAGTCACAGACTTGTGAGCCATGCACACTTTTTATCCTCTGCCACTGACTGCACTCGGTCTGCAGAATGGATGGCATTCCACCGCCTCCCCTGACCCTTTTTCCCCCTGGAGTTATTTAAATGTTGCTGTCTCTTAGAGTTCTACCATCTCTGCCTTCTCGTCTCATATCGTAGACTATCTCTTTTTAAAAAAATATATATTTTATTGATTTATTACAGAGAGGAAGGGAGAGGGATAGAAAGTTAGAAACATCGATGAGAGAGAAACATCGATCAGCTGCCTCCTGCACACCTCCCACTGGGGATGTGCCTGCAACTAAGGTACATGCCTTTGACCGGAATCGAACCTGGGACCCTTCACTCCGCAGGCTGATGCTCTATCCACTGAGCCAAACTGGTTAGGGCTGTAGTCTATCTCTTGATGATATTTCTTATTCCCAATGATTCAGATATGATGTATATGCCATTAATTGCCATATTAACATCTCCAGATATTATCTCTCTCCTAAGCATCACTCCCAACTCCCTCTTTCAACTTAAGCACTTCAAAGTCTACATGCCCAAACCAAATGCCTAAGTACCCACCAGAGCCCAACCCTCCTCCTTCATTTCCTATGTCACTAAAAAGCACAATTTACCAACACCCAAAATCAGGCTGGTTTTGGTCATCCTAAATCCTTCACTTTCTCCTGCAACCTATATCCAGTCAATCACCGGTAATCAACTCTTATTGATCAGTAAAATCATCAATAATTCTATCTGAAAAATCTTAAAACCAGCTCTACCTTATCCTCTCCTGTCTCTGCCATCATTCTTTCCTATCTGGATTACTGCTGCAACTTTCTAATTAGTCTCTTTATCTCTAGTCTTACAACTTTGAACCCAGTCTCCAAACTGTAGGCTGTGCCAATTTTTTAAATGCAACTTTGTGTAACTCTGCTGCCTAAATTACTTCAAAAAGATCCCTGATATGCCCCTCCCTTCACTCGTGATGTTCCTTCTGCTTCCACTCGGGCTGTTAGCTCCCTCTGCAAAACTCCTACAGAAAACTCTCCTACACTCCTCCAGTTAAGCATCTCCCTTCTGTGCTTCCGTAAGGCCTCAGATCTCTCTCGGCATATATGCCTCGCTCACATGTGAACCCCAAAGGACAGAATTTTAATTTAATGTACCTGACAAAGGCTTATGGGGAAGAAGGAAGGAAGGAAGGAAGGAAGGAAGGAAGGAAGGAAGGCAGGCAGGCTAGATCTGGGCATGTTTCAACCAAAATAATTGGCTAAAGACAAAAATATAACAACTACAATTTCAGGAGTAAACACTAATCATATTTGTTAACCTATTAAAAAGAACAATGGAATTGCCCAGCCAGTGTGCCTCAGCAATTGAGCGTTGACCCAGGAACCAAGAGGTCACCGGTTGATTCCTGGTCAGGGCACAAGCCTCGGTTGCAGGCTCAATCCCCAGTAAGGGGCGTGCAGGAGACAGCCGATCGATGATGTTCCTCTCTTATAGATGTTTCTACCTCTCTATCCCTCTCCCTTTCTCTCTCTCTAACAATCAATAAAAAACATATATATAAAGAACAAGGGAATTAAACTCTATAACCCACAAACACTCTGAAAAAGATCTGAAGACCTTAAAATGACCTTAAAATTGCAATGTCAACAGTGAATGTGATTATATCATGGAACTATTTGAGAAAAATCATTTACTCCTTGTTTTGTAAATGATTATAATTAACACTTTAATTGCACTTACGCTGGGATACCTCACTGTGTATCTGTCATCCTATATTATAAACTGTCCCATGGTAAGAACTTCGTAAGCACCCCACAGATGGCAATAAGCCTGCTGGTATCCTGACAAACGAGCACTGTCGATCTGAATTTGCCACATTTAATAGGAGAAGCCCACCTTCTTGGACCAAGTCCTCTGCAGTGTTAACTCCGTGCTCTATGAGCTTCTGGCAGTCATCTAGTGGTTTAATGGTCTCTTGCTCAATGGTATCCACTTCTTGCAAAAGGGTCACCAGTCGCTCATCCAGGAGCTTCCCAAGGGTTCCCTTTAAATCATTAAAATGCTGTTTGAGGACATCTCTGGTCTGTGATGCACTCTCTTTGATCTGAAAAGAAGTAACAAAACTCAGAATCAGAATCACGAAAATAGGCTAATCCACAAGCAACACCTATGATAATTTCAAGGTACTACACAATCATCATCTTCTATTCACTGAAAAACCAAATGTGATTCATCTGCACAAACTTGCAGACTTGCACACAACTGGCCTTCAGGTGAGACAGAATGGGCTCAAACCCTGGTTCCATCATTCACAAACTATGTCAATGTGGTCAAGGAAATTAAGCAATCCATACCTCAATTTCCTTATGCTTACCTCATGGGGTTGATGCTAGGGTTAAATAAAAATATATGTTGCACTTAGTAAAACAATTGGCACACTGTTGTTCTCAATAAATAAATATTAGAAAATATTATCTGCACAAAGTAATTCGTGGCAATAGTACATTTCAGTAAAAAAGAATTTTAAACTAGGAGGGCATTAAAATTCATTTGCTTAAAGAATAAAGAAATGGTACGTTAGAAAGCTACAATACCAAAAAATCCACTCGTGGATAAAATGCCCTCATTATGTGAAAAGAAAACTAAGAATTTATTTAAAATCCTAAGAAGCTCATAAGAAGCAGAAAATGTTCATAAAAAACACACTTCTGGGCCTGGCTGGTGTGGCTCAGTAGTTGAGCGTCAACCCATGAACCAAGAGGTCCCCACTTCGATTCCTGGTCAGGGCACATGCCTAGGTTGCGGGCTTGATCCCCGGTGGTGCATGTGCAGGAGGTAGCCGATCAGTGTCCCTCTCTCATCAATGTTTCTATCTCTCCCTCGCCCTTCCTCTCTGAAATCAATAAAAATATATTATTTTTAAAACACACTTCTGGGACAATGACTTAATCTTTTTTGAGTCATGGTCCTCTTTGTGAATCTCACTGAGAGATTTATAGATCCTCTTCCCAGAAAAATGAATACCCTATTTATTCAATTTCAGGGGTTACAAATTCCCTTAGACCCCAACCACGGCTTGCTGGGAGCAGTAAATCTGAAAGGTGGTTTGCAGAAGAATCAAACAGGCTGCCTGTTATAATTCAGGTTGCAGGGCTCCATCCCAGACCTACCCAACTAGAAGCTTGGAGGACGGGGGCAAGAGGAGTGTATGGAGTTCTTGTTTTCCACAAGCACACCTGTGATTCTGCAACCCATACTTTGAAAAAACACTGCTCTACATCCACAGAGCCAGATTAAGGACCGCTGCTCTAAGATAGCGGTCACCAACCGGTGGTCCATGGACCACTGGTGGTCTGTGAGGTCCAAAAGGTTGGTGACCGCAGCTCTAAGACATAAAACAAGAAAATCTTTACATTGCACACATATTATGGAAATGTGTGAATATATTTCACACATATTCTTTTTTCTTTTTAAGAATACATATAACATGGCCCTGGCTGGGTGGATCAGTTGGGTTAGATCGTCAACCCAAGCACTGAAGGGATGAAGGGTCGAAGGGTCGATTCCCAGTCAAGGGGATGTACCTGGGTTGCAGCTTTGCTCCCTGTCCTGTTCAGGGCATGTGCAGGAGGCAATCAGTTGATGTTTCTCTCTCTGTCTCCCTTTCTCTCTCCCTCCCTCCCTCCCTCCCTTCCACTCTGTCTTAAAAGCAATGGAAAAAATATCTCTGGTGAGGATTAACAACAAAAAAGGAAATTCTAACTATAAACCAAAACTCTTAGTTGAATTAAAGCAAACACATACTTTATTTTGCTAACATTATCATATTAGTTTCATATGACATACTATGTTTACTGCCCTAACCCTTTTGCTAACTTGATCTTAGCAAGAATGTTTGAAGTCCAAGAAAAACCACCTAGAAAAAATATATCAAAATATGGAGAAAGCACTATATTTATTTATTTTTTATTTTTTTTATTTCAGAGAGGAAGGAAGAGAATGATAGAAACATCAATGATGAGAATCACTAATTGCATGCCTGCTACTGGGGATCAAGTCCACAACCGGAGCATGTGCTCAGACCAGGAATCCAACCGTGACCTCCTGGTTCATAGGTTGACACTCAACCACTGAGCCACGCCGGCCAGGCTACAGTACTATATTTTAATAGCTAATAGAACAATTTAGAACAATTTCTATTTATTCTCTAATACTAAATTTAAAAAGCAGACATACAAAATTGTTTTGCAGAAATGTTCACAACCACATAAAAACAAAAGATGCCCCTGCCCAAGGACAACAAAGAAATACCAAAAAAAAAAAAGAACTAACAGTTTGATTGGCTGGGTGGACAGATCATGGACGCAACTTTTTCTCTTTTTCACCTTATTGGGAGTTACAGTGGCTGGTACGTGTGCAGTAATAGAATTCCTTAAATCATAAAGTAAAGGAGAAATCCTAATTTAAATTTAATGGTTAATCTCTGTAAAGTTACTAAAGAACTTCTATTAAATAAACCAAAGTCAAAGTTGTTTTGTTGATTTTTTTTAAAAAAGAGCCAAACTCGCCCTAATCTGTTTTGCTCAGTGGAGAGAGCGTCAGCTGCAGACTGAAGGGTCCCAGGTTCGATTCTAGTCAAGGGCATGTATGTTGGTTGTGGGCACATCCCCAGTGGGGGGTGTGCAGGAGGCAGCTGATTGATGTTTCTCTCTCATCGATGTTTCTAGCTCTCTATCCCTCTCCCTTTCTCTCTGTAAAAAATCAATAAAATATATACATTTTTTTAAAAAGAGCCAAATTAAAAATGTACTTGATTTGGTTCATCACTCAACTGTGGGATCCTTGGGAATAAGCCCCTAACATACCAGCACTAAGCAAATAAATGTTACTGAATAAAAATAAAGTTCATCAAGTGTGCTTTTAAGACCTTACTAAAAGAACCAAGGGAGACACATCACCTGGAATATTGTCAGAAATGCAAAAATTTTTAGGCCTCACCCAGAGCTACTAAATCAGAACCTGCATTTTTAACAAGATCCCCAGGTGACTCAGACAGACCTTACACATGTCGGAACACTGTAATATAGTTTGCACCCCTACCACCAAGAGGAAATTCTGCAGCTGAACACTATACCAACCAGGGCCTGCCTCGCTCTTTAACGGATGCGGCACACACGGATACGGCACACACAGGAAGTGCATTGGTTAGGTAAAGTCAATTTCCTCTTTAGAAAGAATTCAAAAGCTCCTTGCAGGGCCTATGCTTTGTTTCTGTTTTAGAACCTCAGAAGAAAAAAGGAAGTATGTGAACACAAAGCAGTGAGAGGGCCAGGGAAGGGAGACTCCATTTCTAAATCCATCTCCTGGACTTTTATTGTAAATGTGTTCCCTTTTACTCACAGAATGCCAACCACTGCTTTTCAAACTTGATACTACCTTGGCATCATTTCTTCTCCCCACAATGGTTCATAATTTAAAGCCTCAGTCACCTTTAAGCCAATTATGTAACCAAGTACATTCGCTTTGCTTTTGAAACTTTAAAAAATGTGGGCTTCAAAAAGAAAAAGAAAAATGCGGGCTTCGCTGTTGAGTGAGTTGTCCCTATCTGATGTGGCACCATGGTCCAATGTGTTCACGATTAGCTCATTAAATCTTCACAACTCTGAGAGGTGGGTCTGCATTGTTTATATTGAGCAAAGTGAAGCTCAAAGTCAAAAAAATTCCGCAAGGCTTCCCAGTGCCTGAAACAGTCTCACTCCAAGGACCATGGTCTTTCCCCTCACCAGGCTGTTTAGTACTTACAGATCCCATGTGAAAGAATTCCCAGGTCAACCTATAAATTATGTATTGCCTGATGTAAGATTCATTTCTTGTCCTTCCAGGAAGAATCCTGTCATGGTCAACCAGTCAGCCCCAGATGCTACCTAGCCATTCTAGGGCAAAAGAACTGTGATGGTTTGTAACAAAGTAGATTTAAGAATACAAATGACACACAACTCAAGGTTTCTAAGAGGAAACTAATATACCTTGTTTATAGTTATTAATAATATTCTGGCCCTGGGTGGTTTGGCTCAGTGTATAGTGTCGCCTGCAGATTGAAGGGTCCCGGGTTTGATTCTAGTCAAGGGCATATGCCCAGGTTTCGGGCTTGATCCCCAGTAGAGGGCATGCAGGAGGCAGCCGATCAATAATTCTCTCATCATTGATGTTTCTATCTCTCTCTACCTCTTCTTTCCTCTCTAAAATCAATAAAAATATATTTTAAAAAATACTGTAAAAGATGGCCTAGATAAGAGTTTAAAAAAATAATAATATTTTGAACCAATTTTTCACTAAAACCTCTACTGTAACCGACCATTAAAACTAATTCACAGCCCTGGACAGTGTGGCTCAGTTAGTTGGAGTATCATTCCATACACTGAAAGATGGTGGTTTGATTCCTGCTTGGGCACATAACCCAGGTTTTGGGTTTAATCCTGGTTGGGTCTTTCACATCAATGTCTCTATCTCTGTCTCCTCCCTTCCTCTCTCTAAAATCAATTTTTAAAAATTAAAAAAATAATAATAACTTGCCCTGGCCAGCACTGCTTAGTGGTTAGAGCGTTAGCCCTCACACTGAAGAGTCTCGGGTTCGATTCCTGGTCAAAGGCACATACCTGGTTGCAGGTTCATCCAGCCCCGGTCCAGGCACGACTGGGAGGCAACCAATCAATGTGTCTCTCTCACATCGATGTTTCTCTCTCTCTTTCTCCTCTCTCCTCTCCCACTCCTTTCAACTCTGAAAATCAATGGGAAAAACTATCCTCGGATGAGTATTTAAAAAAATAGTTATAATCACTTATTTACAAAGTTTCCACAGCAATTGATTAATCCCAAAGCTATATCAAGAAAAAGGATGGGACAGGATAGGAAAGGACAGAACAGAACAGAATAGAATGTGTATTTCAGGAAATTAAGTAACTGGAATCTTCTCTATCTCCTCTAAAACATGCGTCTTCATGACTTCATAGAAGAAAAGAATTTTTATCTTCTAATTTTAATCTATGAGTTTATTTTCCCAATTATTTTACGAGTAGGAAACTAAAACTATATCAAATTAGAGACTGACTTTAAACACCATCAGCCAACAAGGACATAGAGATCAAAAATAAAAAACAAAGATGTAAAATAGTCAACTGAAATTGAAAAAACTAACCAAAATGCTTCTTCTCAATTCATATGAAATGTACTGCATTGGCTATTGCCTTTGTGCTGACACCAAGACATTAGTCATTAGAAATAAGAATGATAGCAATAATAATAGTACAGTATTAGCTATCATCTACTGAATACCTACTGTGTGCCAGGTACTAACATCCACGGTCTTATTTAAATTCTATCACCCTCCCTATGAAAAAAGCATCTGTAAATGAGTAACATATGAGTCAGAGACATGAACTTGCCTACATTACAAAGCTACTAAAGTGGCAGAGAATTTGAATTGTCTGATTCATGCATGGACTCATAAGTGTTGCTACATTTCCTTCTTATCTCTCTTACAATTAGGCTATTTTTTTATGCTTATTTGAAAACATCCAAAAAGAAAATCTTTATTATATGAATTGCTAGTCTGTTACATTCATGGCCCTCAGTGAATCACAACTCTTGGTACTCATATCCTCCCGCCCTTAGAATATAGGCTGGGCCTGTATTCTAATGCAGTCAATGTGCATAGCTATAGGCTAGAACTGATGCTCTGCCAGTTCCAGGCCTCAGCCTTAAGAAAACCTGGCAACTTGTGCTTTTGCACTTAGGGGGGTCCTGAATCACCATTTAAGAAGTATGTCTACCTTTCTGGAGAGAACAAGTGGAAGAAGGAGGAAGAGAGGAAGGAAAAGAGAGATACTGGCACTGTTTTCTGGAGAGAACAAGTGGAAGAAGGAGGAAAGTGGGAAGGGTAGGAGGGAGGAAGAGAGGAAGGAAAAGAGAGATACTGGCACTGAGGCCCAACCATAAATCCCAACTGACTCCTGCTACCACTAAGGCTCCAACAGGTTAAGTGAACATTCTGTCGTGAACATGCCAGCCTTAGCTGTCATCTGATTGCAATTATATGAATGTTGCCAGCAAACTCAGGTATGGCCAACTGAACCCCAGAATAGCAAATAAAATGACTGCTTTTAAGCCATTATGCTTTGGCACAGTTTGTGTAGGAACAAACAGCCAAATCATATGATAAAACAAATGTTTAATTCTTGATTATCTGCATTAATGAATAGGGTGTATTTAATCAAGACAATGAATATTATTAAAAAAATCTGCAAAACTACACCCAAAACATTCATAAAGGCACTCATTCAGTATTTAATGAGGTCTAGTTATGTTCCCCAAACCAGGGTTATAAAGATAAATAAGGTATGGTCCTGACCTCAAAAAACTATCATTCTGGTAAAGGAGACAGTTGCATGCACACATAACTATAATAAAAGGTAGCACTACATTCTTATATAAGTGGGATAGCCACAAACTGCCATCAGAGCTCAGAGCTTCTGCTGGGCAAGAGAATAGGAGAGAAGTAGGGGACATCACTTTGAATAACAATAATATTTAGTGGTATTATTATTACAGCTAATATTTATTAAGCACTTCGTATGTCCCAGACATTGTGTTAAGCATTTTTAATAAATTTCTCATTAAAAAAATATAAATAAATAAGTTTCTCATTTAAATTCCCACATTGGCCAAGTAAAGTAGGTACAATCCTTATCCTCATTGTACAGATAAGGAAAGTGAGGTTCAGGAACGTTAACTTTGTCATCTCCTGGCTAACATGGGCAAGTACTGACAAAGGAAAATAACTGCAAATATAAGTGATTCACTGATACTTCTCAATAATAAAAGCCCGTCCTACATCTGCGTGGCTTTTTTAGATCACAAAGTAGCCATATTATTTATCAGACTTATAGTAACAAGAATAGCTCTTTATCAAAATTATACGTACATTACAAACTTACATTGGGAAAAAAATCTATACAGAAAAACTGACATTCACACATTTTTCCATTAACATCACTGATTGTAACAGTATGGATTCAAATGCTTGCTTTAATTCTTATTTATATTACCCTATATTTCAAGTGAATTCTGGATTCAACAAGCAGCTTTCAGAGTGTCATGTTTAAAGACAATTTGTGAAAAGACAAATTCAAGAAAAGATGACTGAAAAGCCAATGTAAATATGTGGTCTTTTGCACACAAATATGTGTGCAGCTTTGTTTTTCTTGGTTTTTGATCGTTTAGCATTGTTTCTAGAGCTTTGCTTCTAGTATTTGGTGTACCTGAGTCAACACACTTCAGCCTACCACCAACCAATGCTCCATAGCTATCCTATCTAACAGACTATCCACCTTGGCGTTCAAAATTAGATTGCAGGTAGGAAATTTTTCATAATAAATGCTTATGATATAATGTTAACCAAAAGAAAAAAATGAATACAAAGTTGCATATACAGTAGTCTCTCAATTTTACAAGATAATATGTCTAGAAGGAGACACCAAGATGTTAATAATGGCTGTCTCCAAGAAGTAGAATTATGAGTTATTTTTAAATTATTTCATCCATTCTTGGTTTTCCTCAGCTTAGATATAACCACAGGACACTATAATTGGGACATTTTAAGTACTACTGCAGTAACAAATTATTTCAAACAGATTTTTGGACTGTTTTGAAAATGGGTAACAGAAGGGGAAGTGGGAGATAAAAGAAGCAATAATAGCTTTCTTTTCTTTGCTGAACTACTAGGACTTCCTGCCCTGGTTCTCTGAAATAACTTGTTTTTTACGCTGAGTTCTATATCTGTCCCGGTCTTTAACTAGTATGCTATGTGTTTTCAAATGCTATGGGGATAATAATCTATAGAAAACTTGGCATTGTACATTAGGAATATCAAGATTATGAGTTAAATCTTCAAGAAATTATCTGAAATCAACTATTAAAAATTGAAAACAAAATACTATAAAGACTAAGGGTCACATTACAGATGTTAACAAATTATTTCAAACAGATTTTTGGACTGTTTTGAAAATGGG